AAGCCCCAAGCACCACTTCCTTGGTTCACAGTGCGCCAGCACTCTCAGCGCATGAGCCAGTGCCAAGGAAGGACTCCTCTAGAGACCCTTGGCACTGCCATGGCACCACACACAGAACCCAGACCTCTGTGAAGCACTGCTTTCAATCCCTGGTGCCCCAGAAAAAGCATGGGCATTGGTGGTCTCGGAGTCCTTCGGCCACCGCTCACACATTTGGCTCTGGGGATTTCTCTGGTGACCCAGGTGGCCTGCATACCGGTGTTGGTTCCCACGCCTATGGTGCCAACTGCAGTGCTGGAGGTCCTCACTCTCGGGACCCGAGAGGGGTCGAGGGCATAGAGCAGGCTCCTGTACCGCTCAACCTCCCATCTTCCTCCTCTCCGGATGAGGCGGTGGCTGGCACATCAACAGCCCCAGCCCTGGAGGACACCAGGGTCTTACAGCAGCTGCTGAGACGGGTGGCCCAGATCCTCAATATTGAAACAGAGGAGGTGGTGGTGGAGACCGACCCAATGGTTGCTATCCTTTCCTCTCCCGGGCCATCCCGTGTTGTGCTGCTGCTGATCAAAACCATTAGTGAAGCCACTAAGACACTGGGGCAGACCCCGTCTTCGTTGCCGCCCACCATGAAAATGTCTGAGTGGAGATACTTTGTCCCCCTCAAGGGAGTATGAACAGCTATATATGTGCCCTCTGCTGGACTCCCTGGTAGTGGATGTGGCCAACCCGCGTGAGCCTCAAGGGTTCTCCCTGAAAAGTCGAGAGGCCAAAAAGTTGGACCTTTTTGGGAGAAAGGTTTACTCGACACGGGGGTTGCAACTCAGTATACATGTGGGGCCTTGGCAAAGCTTACTGAACTCCTGCCCCTGGACTCTCACACAGAATTTTCCATGCTAGTAGAGGAGGGTAATCTAATTTCCTGTGTGTGTCTGCAAGAAACTTGGACACAGCAGATGTGGCTTCCTGCACCATGGTGACTGGGGTGGCCATGAGGTGGAGTTCCTGACTGCAGGTCTCTGGCCCTCCCGTATGAGGTCCAGCTAACCATCCAGGACCTCCTCTTTGAGGGTCAGACTTTATTTTCAGAAAAGACTGACTCTTGCCTCCACAGCCTCAAGGACTCTAGGGCCACTCTAAAGTCCCTTGGCCTTCATACCCCTGTCAACCAGCAGAGACATTTTAGACTACAGTCCCTGCCAAGGAGTTAGCAGCCTCAGAATAGGCAGGAGGGTTCATGCAGGAGACGCTAGAAAGAGACCTCATCCTTCCTTTGGCCTGGCCTCTGGCCAGTCTAAACCATCCTCAGGCCAAAAACAGGCCTTTTGAAGGTGCACATGAGGATGGCGCACCAATGCAAAGACTTGATCCGTCCCACCTTACCTTTTCGTCCCATCTATCCCCTTTCTATTCTGCATGGGCCCATATCACATCGGACTGTTGGGTGCTCCGCACGGTATCCAATTCTCTGCCCTCCCGCTCTACCACCCCCCTTCTTCGTCCCTCTTCAGGGACCCTTTTCACAAGCAACTCCTTGTACAGGAGGTACACGCTCCTATCGCTGGGGACAGTGGAAGAGGTTCCTCAGGAGCAGAAAGGCAAGGGCTTTTATTCCCGGTATTTCCTAATACTGAAAGCCAAAGGTGTGCTCAGGCCCATCCTAGACCTGCAAAGGCTTGACAAGTTCATGCGGAAACTCAAGTTCCGCATAGTCTCTTTAGGCTCCATCATCCCTTCCTTGGATCCAGGGGACTGGTACACCTCCCTCGACTTGAAGGCCGCATGCTTTCATATAGCAATCACAGCCCCACAGAAGGTACCTCAGGCTTGTGATCAGCCACAGCTATTACCAGTTCATAGTCCTCCTGTTTGGCCTCTCAGCAGTGCCGCGTGTGTTTACCAAGCATATGGCAGTCATGACCGCCTTTCTGCACAGGTGGCAGGCACAGGTGTTTCTGTATCTCGACGACTGGCTGATCAAGGGCTGCTCCAGGGCTCAAGTGGAATAACAAGTCGACTTCATAAGAACGACTTTTGGTTAACTGAACCTTCTCGTGAACGTGGGGAAATCAATGCTATCCCCCGTTCAGTGTCCCCAGTTCAGTGGATAGAATTTATAGGGGTGGTACTGGTCTTGATGTAGGCCAGGACATACCTCCCTGCTGCATGCCGCACCCTTCCTGCACCCCGACCCCCTGCCCTGAGCCCCCCGCCGCTTCTTGCACCCCTGCCCTGAGCCCCCCGCCGCACCCTGCCCCTGACCCCCTGCTGCACCCCTCACCTCTCCTGCACCCCACACTCAAACTCCCTTCCCTGAGCCCCCGCCACACCCCTCCTGCACTCTCTGGGGGCAGGGAGTGGGCGGAGTTGGGGTGGGGATTTCAGGGAAGGGGTTGGAATGGGTGCAGGGCAGGAGCGGGGCCGCATGGAAGGGGTGCAGTGGGGGCGGGGCCTAGGGCGGGGGGGAGAGGGAGATGTCAGTACTGCGGCCCTCGGGCTTGAGAACCCTGGTTTATGCCCTTCTCTGAAGTGGGACCCCATGGTTCAACTACACAAGACAAGTGCTGAGCCTCAGTAATCTTAAGAATACCCTTTCCCAGAGCTCCATCTTTGTGGGCACTCTGGTTTATAATTTATCCCTGCAGGGGGAAGCATGATAGTTTAAACAAATACAGACTCTGTAGAAAGATTTCTGAAACAATCAGTTTACTTGAGACTGCACAAAAGATAGATGTGTGCAAAATAAGAAACACCTGCGCATAATTCCCTGCCTCAGTTTCCTCATCACTCTTCAGAGTTTTTTGGGATTTGGGTCAATGTCTTTTCAGGGTTCCAAGTCCCCTTTTCTGGTCTGCAATCCACCAGTTATGGCTGCTCCTTCAAATCATGGAGTCTCCTCCCTGATCCCTGCAGCTACCTTTCTTCAGCCAACAATCAAAAAGCTCCCTCTCCTTATGTAACGTGCCACTTTGTGTTCCCCTTTGTCGAACCTCTCAGTTTATGTGGTTTTAAAGGGCTGTACTTATACTTCTGTTTCTTTGTTCCTCTTTTGTGAATTTTCTACTCCACGTCTCTGGAAGAGAAAGGAGAGACCTGCTTTCACCTCGGTTGTAGCTACCCCTTTGTTCTGCCAGGGCCTGACGTATTCACTTCTTGATAATCCTTAGTAACGGTCTCATTCAGAGGCATGCAGTGTAGTTGTAGCCATGTTGATGCCAGGATATTAACGAGACAAGATGGGTGAGGTAATATTTTTTTTTATTAGACCAACTTCTGTTGGTGAGAGAGACCAGCTTTTGAGCCACAGGGAGCTCTTCTTCAAGGAGAGAAGTACTCCCTGCCTCACAACAAAATGCATACTGGAACAGATAGATTAGCATAAATAGTTAGCACCATTAGGTAGAATGGCCTGTTAACACCTCTGCAGTCAGGACAAACATGGGGGTCAGTGGGTTACAGATTGTTGTAATAAGTCAGAAATCCAGCATCTCTGTTCAGTCCATGATTTTTGGTGTCTAGCAGAGTAATGAATTTAAGCGCCCAGGCTCGTCTTTTGAAAGCTTTGTGCAGGTTTCCTTTGTGAAAAGTGTTCACTTACACGTGATAGGATGTTTTTGTGTTTTATCATTTTCCTGTGGGATTTCATTCAAGAGCATAGCGGTTGTCTGGTTTCATCCCATAGTTGTTGGTGGCATTTAATGCACTGGATGAGGTGTACCACATGTTGTGATAGGCATGTGTAGGATACATGGATCTTGAAAGGTGTTTTGTGGGGGATGTCGATCATTGTAGCAGTGGAGATATGTCTGCAGGTTTTGTACCTGTTCTGGCAGGGTGTGGTGCCACTTTGAGTTGGTGTATCTTGGTCTGTGGGGAGCCTGTTTGAAGGCCAGAAGTGGGTGTTTCTGAAAGATTTCTTTCAGGATATGGACCCTATCAAGTATGGGTTGTAGTTGTTTGATGATGCCCTGTATGGGTTCTGTTATGGGGTGCTAGGTGACAACTAAGAGTGTGTGTGGTCAAAGGGCATTTTGTTTCTGTATTGAAGCTGATTCTCTCGGGGTATTTGAACGGCCCATTCGTTCAGAAGTTGACGCTTGGGCACCTCTTGTGCTAAGGAGACACACAGGAGTTTCTCTGGAAAGAGGTTTACTCACTCAGTGTTACTTACTTGATATCAAGGAGTTAATTGAGTCACACATTTTCATAAAAACTTCTCATGTTTGTCATATTTTCTGAAGGGAAAATGGGTGTGTGTGGTGATGGAGGGGGACTGCAAATCAATGGAGTCTGGAAGGGTGGCGAATACTTGGTAATGGAGTAGGGAGCTGGTCTCCAGTTGAAATCCAGACTAGAGGGAAAATTTAGTCTGGCGTTTCTACAGTATTTTAAATTAGGTGGTCATTATAGATCCTAGAAGAGGAGGTATCAACATCAGACAACCAGATGTAGTGCTAATTAACATCCTTATTGGCAACTTTTGCAAAGAGGCTGGTGACTAATTTGAACTATCCTATCATCTTGAGTTGGGCCTATTAGTCAAGGGTGAGGCCCGCTGGCCGATTAGTGATGAGGAATCCTGTGCTTTTGCTAGAGTTCAACAAATATTTTGGCTAAAGAAGGTTTGATAGCTATGAAGAATGAATCTGTCATCTTTCAGAGTAATGGCTGGTACAATTTAAAAGGGATGGGGAACACTTTGCATTCTGTATTACTAAAATGCAGTAATAACATGTAACTAAAAACTCTTTCCCAAATTGGATGTGATGGTAACATACTAATCATCTTTCGGATCTTGATTTTGATTGTTACTTCTAGCATCATCTTTTGCTTTGTATAAGTGGCAGCTCATCTCAGAATGAATAGTTTGAGCAACAAATTTGTCCCATGTACTGACTTAACTATTTCTTCCTGCAAACCAGTTTTATAAGAACATAAAACGATGCTTTTGATTTACAGTATTGAATTTTCTAATCCTTTTTTTTTCTTCCCTTCCACTGTAGGAATGAAGACCTAAAGCAAATGTTGGAAAGTAATAAAGATTCTGCTAAGTTGGATGCTATGAAAAGAATTGTTGGGGTACGTGAAATTCAAAACATTTTTTGTGTGTGGCCAATACATGTTGATGCTGGTTTCTCTGTGTGACTCCTTCACTACAGTATTTTAATATGTAAATGGTTTGAAAAGCTAGGGTGAAGTGCTATTTTCTTTAAATATCAAGATGGAAAATTTAAAATGGATACAAGTACACAAATATTTCAATGACAGATGTGTGTAATGTTTCTATAAATTTGTAGAGCTATGATATAAAAATGCAGGTATTGACTGTATTCTCCCTACTGTGTTAATGTCGCACAACTCCTATTTATGTCAAAGAAACACTCCAGTTATTTTTCTCAGACCTGCAGTCTGAAAAGCTGTAGGTGTTTCTTACTTGGAGTAAACTGAGAAATATTTGAAATGTTTTTAACTTTATTTTTGTAAATGATTATCAATCCATGATGTAATTTTTTCCTAAAATATAAATACTTTTTTAAATTGACATTTGAATTTTTTGAGTGTTAAACCTGAATTACAAAAGTTTAAAAACTAGTCTGTATACCTGTACGTGAGATTCCCAAAACTGCTGAGTATAAAAGAGGTTAGACCTTTTACAATGCTTTCTAAATGTCTACATTGGTATTTACAGTTGAGGGTAAGGTTGCCCAATTGGGGGAGAGGGGGGGAAATCACTTGTTCCTAGTCTAGATAAGGGCCCGGACTTCTGCATTTCCTCCTGATGGAGCGTTTGATCAAACACTGTATTGTGGAAATGCAGATGTACCCTCACCTTGATAAAGTGATGAACTATAACATCTGATCTGAATCATGGAACTAGATAACCAGCTCTGGCAGAGATCTCTGGGAGTACCAAAAAAAAAAAAAAAAAAAAAAAAAAAGACTAAGGTGGTTGTCAAGCTGCCTAAGGAGTAGTTAGAGAAGAGACCAGTTTCTAAGATGTAAAGTTTTTTTTTATCTGTATCTGAGCCAGAGGAAGTCTATCTTGCTAGGCTTCACAAATAATCAGATGCAGTATATTATACAAAACTGCTAGTTTCTTTTGTTTTACTACCACTTGCTCTTTTTAAAAGAGAACTACTGTTTCAATTGGTAACTTCCTGCAATCCACCTCAAAAAAGTGAATCTCTATTCCCCCCAAAAATGGTGATTAAAGGTGCTAGAGTTTCTGAAGCCTCAGCCCTCAGGGCTGGTCTGTACTACCCGCCGGATCGGCAGGCAGCGATCGATCCAGCGGGGGTCGATTTATTGCATTTAGATTTTATCGCGTCTAGATAAATCGACTGCCGAGCACTCTCCCGTCGACTCCGGTACTCCACTGGAGCAAGAGGCGCAGGCGGAGTCAGCGGGGGAGCATCAGCGGTTGACTCACCGCAGTGAAGACATCGTGGTGAATAGATCTAAGTACGTCGACTTCAGCTACTTTAGTCACGTAGTTGAAGTTGCGTAACTTAGATCGATTTCCACCCCCCCAAGTGTAGACCAGGCCTCAGAGGCTCGGAATATCCGTCGTTTTCCATTGAGGCAAGTTGCAAAGAGCTTTATATAGGTGAACATAAGCTTTAAGGTCTAAACTGGAGGCAAGAGTTGGCAGAGGTGTAGGTGACAGTGGATGTTAAAATTATGTTGTCAAAGGCACTCTGAGCACAGGAAGTCTTGTTCTGACTTTTTTGGCACTTCAGAAAGAGAGTAGTAAAACTAAGTTTACTTTCAATTAGTAAAAAAAAAAAGAAAATAGAAATTTGATTGAATAGGGTGTTCATATCACAAGTGATGGTTTTTTATCTTCCTAATAAACATTAATGCAGTAAAAATAACTTTGAGAATCATAGAGGTTTACAAGATTACAAAGAATTGCTATTTAGGAAAATTTAGATGTATATGGCAACTAATATCTATAATTGCGTTCTGTAAAAACACATCTTAATATTTCTTTTAAAAATCTGTCTGAACCCCAGACAATCAATGTAACTTTGCAGCTTCAATCATAATCTTCCTGCTATCTTTATATTTGTCACCCCAAGGAAAAACTTTTGGAGAACAGTTGAAGCTTGCAGTGTCCTGAAAGTGGCCTGAGCCTAGATTTGGAGCTAGCAAACAAGTTCAAGTGCCTAGTACCCCTCTTGGAGAAACTTCTACTACCTGCCCCCTTACTACCATTTTAAACAAAAAATTAAAAAAAAAATCCCCAAACCTGCTGCATCACATGTACAGCATTTGTCTTGAGCAGAAACTTGCACAGGACAACATACAGGCATGGAGCTCCATCCTGCATTCCTTGCAACATATTCAACTCCTGGTGCCTTCAGTAGGAGCTTTGGGTATACAAGGCATACAGGATTTGAGCTCCTAATGGCTATGCATAGCAGCTAAATTGGTGTGATTAGACCTTAGTCCTGGAAAGCCCCATTATATTCTTTTGAGCTAATGATCCATGAACTAAAGAGGATTTACACTCATCATTATGACTTAATGAGTCAAAATACATTCTTTTAAAAGACACTAAATGCATATCTACATGGTACACTGGAGCTACTATGGCTGGTCAGTTAAATAATGCAAGTTACATATATATTTTCTTGATAGGCTGTAACTATGTGGTAACAATTCAAAACTAGATAATCAACCATATCTTTTGAACACTCCTGTCATAGCAAGTTGTTTGATGTCATAGTAGTACTAATACTTAGCTCTTGTATAGTGCTTTTCATCAGTAGATCTTGCCTCTTTAATGACCAGATGGGAACAGAATTTATTTCTTGTCTGGTCATTTGTCATTAGAACCACAGCCCTGACAGCCTACTCACCTTGTGAGGAGGACCCCTTTATATGGGCTCTTCTAGCTAAGAAACAGGACAAAGGAGGTTGCAGAAACCCACCCTTCACTGTCTCTTAGCAACTGAACATGCTTTAACCTCTCCGGGATGTTCTGTTTTAAATTCCTAGTCTTAAACAACAGGGTTGTAGTAAAATAAAATTTAAGACGAGAGAGAATTGGATTAAAATAAAATGGTATGCGTGGCATCTAGCGTTCAACTCTGCAAAAGTTGGCTATATCTAGGGCTATACCAAATTCACAGCCATGAAAAACACATCACAGATGGTGAAATCCGATCTCTGCCCGTGAAATCTGGTCTTTTGTGTGCTTTTACCTTATACTATACCAATTTTATGGGGGAGACCAGAGTTTCTCAAATTGGGGGTCTCGACCCAAAAAGGAGTTGCAGAGGGAGTCACAAGGTTCTTTTAGGGGGGGGATCGTGGTATTGCCATCCTTACTTTTGTGCTGCCTTCCGAGCTGGGTGGCTAGAGAGAGGCGGCTGTTGGCTGGGCATCCAGCTCTGAAGGCAGCGCCCAGCCAGCAGCAGCGCAGAAGTAAGGGTGGCAATGTCATACTATACCATCTTACTTCTGCACTGCTGCCTTCAGAGCTAGGTGGCTGCTGACTGAAGGCCCAGCTCTGCAGGCAGCAGTGCAGAAGTAAGGATGGCAATATCATACCATGCCATCCTTACTTCTGCGCTGCTGCAAGCGGCAGCACTGCCTTCAGAACTGGGTGGCCAGAGAGCAGAGGCTGCTAGCCGGAAGCCCAGCTCTAGGCAGAGCCGCCCCCAGCAGCAGCGCAGAAGTAAGGGTAATAGTATCACAACTCTCCCCTCCCTCCCCCCCCTTCAGTGACCTTGCAAAACTTCCCCCCCTCCTAACTTTGTTGGCTCAGGACCCCTACAATTACAACACCATGAAATTTCAGATTTAAATAGCTGAAATCATGAACTTTACGATTTTTAAAATACTATGACTGTGAAATTGACCAAAATGGACCATGAATTTGGTAGGGCCCTAGCTATATCTTAAATTCTCTAACATTATCCTTTCCTCTCCAGCTTGTTCTTTTTCCCCTGACCCCTTTGTAATATGCTGCATATTTGAGACATAGCTCTTGTCCTCCTCCCTTTACAGTCTGACACTCCTCCTCCCCCCCCCTCCTATTTTTTTAGGTATTCTAGTCATCTTATAAAGCATGTGGGTCTAAGTTACATCAACATTTCAACAATGTGTAATGTTTGATCAGATAAGAACATAAGAATGGCCATACTGGGTCAGACCAATGGCCCATCTAGCCCAGTATCGTGTCTTCTAACGGTGGCCGGTGCTACATGCTTCAGCGGGAATGAACAGAACAGGGCAATTATCAAGTGATCTGTCCTGTTGTCCAGTCTCAGCATCTGGCAGTCAGAGGCTTGGGGACTCCCAGAGTATTGGGTTGCATCCCTGACTATCTTGGCTAATAGTCATTGGTAGATCTATCCTCCATGAATTTATCTAATTCTTTTTTTTAACACAATTATATTTTTGGCCTTCACAACATTCCCTAGCAATGAGTTCCACAGGTTGACTGTATATTGTTTGAAGAAGTACTTCCTTATGTTTGTTTTAAACCTGCTTCCTATTAATTGGGTGACCTGTAGTTCTTGTGTTATGTGAAGGGATAAATAACACTCTTCTCCTCCCCCTCCCCCCCCCCACACCATTCATGATTTTACAGACCTTTTTGTCTATAGTCAGGGTAAGGAGGGGGTATATGATAGCTATTGCCTGTCATCTGCCAATATTCCACTGTATAACTTTGGATTTCCTGTCTCCAGAATCTGACATTTTTGAGTGTCCATTTGATATTTTGTCCACCTTTAGTCAATCTGAGGTGTCAGGGTGACTGGATCCTGGTTTAATTGTCTCTTGTCCCTGGCTGAAGGTATTTAACTTTGGTCCATTTCCCTGTCTACCTTGCATCTGAACGTAAAAACAGAGCTCAAATGTTTTTAACTTTCACATTATTTCTACTTGACTATGAATTACTGGAGTTTAATACCTATATATCACAATGTTAAAAATGATTCTCCTGGAATTTGTTGATCCAGTAGAGATGGGAATTTTACAACTTATTTACATGTGAAAATATTTAGCTTCATAAATAGCTCCTTTAAAAAAAAAAAGTAACTGAAGTGAGGGATGAAACTAAACTGTACTTCAGTGTCACGATTAATCTGTAATTACAATATCAAGTGAGAAGGCAACTAAAATAAATATAGAAAGTAAATTTGAATCATTGTTAATTCTTTACTGGAAAGATATTTGAGTTTCATGAGATGTTCGCACTCCCCCTTTACACATTGGCTGTGGTGCTGTGCATCAAAACCTATATGCTCTTACCCAACAAAATAACACAACCATTTGTTTGGTATTAATGTACTTCACTACTCATAAGTCATACTTTTTTCCTTTGTTCATTTTCCTTCTGTGCAAACCCTTTCTTGAGGATTTTTTCATTTAGGTGCATTGTGCCAGACAATCTTATTTATTCTTGTGTAAACTCTGAATGTGACATCTACGTCACAGTATTTTTACTCTTTTGTGCACTAAAATCTAACTCTTATGGGAAACCTTTTCAAAACTTGTTCATAATATACTCTGGTTTAGTTTTGGCTTTTTTTGGGGTGGGTGGGTGGGGGAATAGATCTTGAAATTGCAAGCCTGAAAAAGCTGTCAATGCCTAAGTGAATTAAAAAAAATGGCAACTTTTGAATTTCAAAATCCAGTTTTTGTATTTCTTAACACAGGGCAAGGGGCTGAAATTCCTGCCCTGCTCCAGATGGTGGTGTTCCCTTTCCTGGTGCAAAGCAACTTGCTGGCAATCAATTAAAGGAGACTTATTAAGACACGTTGGAAATATTGGGCCAAAATATTTTTTTTAACTATTAATATTGTACTTCTCTTTCAGATGATTGCTAAGGGGAAGAATGCATCCGAGTTGTTTCCAGCTGTTGTGAAGAATGTGGCCAGTAAAAATATTGAGGTACTCTTAAAAAGAACACACAAAAATGTACTATTATGGAGGATATTTTTGTTATAAAAGTACCACTTCAGTTTTCACTTTAGTTCAAATCACAAAGTATCTTTAAATTGTATTTTACTAGAATTCACCAAGGTTTAATCTTAGTAGGAGCCTTGTAGAAATAGTATAATCTGATATCTGAGATAAGGAAATGTACAATATTGAGCCTAGTTTTCTTGTAGTGATTTGGTGGGGGAGTGAATTTTTGTAACTCTGAAAATAGTCCTTAAGAGAGCAAATTCAAGAAGTTTAGTAGTTTGTGGTATATGTTCCTAAGAGTGCTTCATAAATGACATAACTAGCCTTTGGTAACAGTCTGTGCAAAAAGGCCCAGGATAGAGTGAACATAGACCGATCTACTTTCTTTCACAAAGTGGTTCTTGTAGAGCAGGGGTGAGACATGGGAGAGAAGCTTGCCCTTTGCCAGTGGCATACTAAATATGCTCTGTAAATAGAGAGCTTCAGTGTGCAGGGTTATCAAAATAGTATCTTCAATAACCTTTACATTTACTTCACAAAAACTATTTTTAACGTCATTAAATAAGTCTCTCTGAAATTGCTGACCAATCCAAGTTTGGTGTTGAAATGCATCGTTACAGTAACAATTTTTGGTCAGCAAAAAGTTTAATTATTAAAAAGCTAGAATTAATCCTTGTTCTTTGAGCATCAGTGCAGATTCCCATACTTGGGCATGTACATTTGTAGTCTACGCCTGGCCGGGAATCCCTTGGAAAGGTATAATTGTTGTGGGGCCACATAGGTGTCTCCTTGAGGCAACAAATATTCTAGTCATGGTTCCTCCTAGGGAACCCTCTCTTCTTTTTAATATCTGAAAAGTAAATAAGAACTTCCACTAGGCGACCAACTTTTATCTGCTGTTTCTTTATCTCTTCTGGGTACAGCTTATACAATTGTACATAGTTAAAAATTGTAAAATTTATTTCAGGAGAGCTCTATTTATATTTAAAAGTTCTGATGCCAAGAACTGGCGTCCTTCTCAGGATGGCAGGTTAGGCAAAAAAGACTCGGTTTAAAGAATGCCTGTCTTGCATCATTCAAGTTTTAATCTCTGGTCCTCATAATGATACTTGGGTGAAGGTCAGTTAACCTGTTTGTACCATATCTATTTTAAATTTACTTGTTGGGCTGCAGCGATCCAAAGTCTCAGGTCTGGTCAATACTGTGAGTTGGAAGCATTTTCAGGTTCCTTTGAAGTACCAGCCTCAGAATGTATGTTTGGTGCTGAGAAGGTCTGTATGGTCTAGGTGTAAAAGGAGCTCTGACTTTGTTCTGCACTATTACTTCCTGGGATTAAAAGACTGTGAGAAGAAAAAGAGAAGACAACACAATAATTTCCTTGGATGAGTTTTTAGAAGCAGTGACTCTACTAAGGAACCAGTGCCAAACCTTTGTGTGAGAGCAAGTACTTTATGCTCCAGGACTCTTCAGTGCAGAGGGGAAAATCCATGTTCTTGGTGCCAAAGATTAAGCTCCTGGCTCTGGTGCTTGTTCCTGGGTACTGAGACCAACACTTCAGTGGTAGCACTGATCTTGTATAGTGTTCTGTGCCCAATATTGATGAAATTGAAAGGCAGAAATTAGTACACTCTTTCCTATCCATGGGTACCTTTCTCAATTCAGCAAGGAAGAAATCTCTTGCCAGTCACCCCAACATCTGTGTTGGGGCATAGGATTCCTCTGGAGCCAAATATTTAGATCCAGGGAGCTGTATAGTCAGCCTTGGTGTCATTTGTTTTCCAGGCTTCATTAGTTCCATGGTCAATGCTGAGTACTGTGTAGCCACCCGCTCTGGATTTTCAGTTATACACCTCTACCCTGATATAACACAACCCGATATAACACAAATTCTCATATAACGCAGTAAAGTGCTCCGGGGGGGCGGGGCTGCGCATGCCGGTGGATCAAAGCAAGTTCGATATAACGCGGTTTCACCTATAACGCGGTAAGATTTTTTTTTTGGCTCCCAAGGACAGCGTTATATCGAGGTAGAGGTGTATTTGTCCTAGGTCTGTTCCTGGGGATAACTAGTTCCACCTGATGCTTATGGAAACTGTTTGCGAGTCCCATGGCTATTTCGGGCATTTCAGCTGTAGATTTTTGACATACAGGAGACAAGTGGAGCTGAATTACTTGCTATAGTTTCTCAGCACTGTATGATTCTGACACCTGTAAAGTCTGTGATCTAGATCATCAAACTGCTAGTATCATCTACTTCTCCTACAGATAAATCGGAGTCCATGATTGAGGAGGAAAATTTCCCTGTGGAAAAGGAGGCATATCAACATAAGTGTATCTAAATAATTTCTCATCTTTGCCAAAGGAAGTCATGACTTACACCAGAGGTGACTTTCTGGAAAACTTTCAAATCCTTTCAAAATCACTTCTCCAAAATTGGATGTACTGAACCTTGAGCTCTCTATTGTCCAGAGGAAGTTTCTGAGGCTGTTTGACTTCTTGAAGCCACATCTGAGCTCGGTGGCAGTGGCTACTAAAGAGGGCCTCATGGACTCTGCCAAGGATTCATGGATTATACCTGTGATATTTGCAGGCCAGGTACCACATGCGGTGGGGAGTTGGTGGCTGCTGCAACTGTGTAGTATGGGGAGCAGGATGTGCAGGGAACCTGCTGAAACTGCCAGTTGCCGCAGTGACTGGCTGGGGGACTGGATGCCTGTACCCCATGAGTACTGGCCCCCTCTCCCCAGGAGTGCTGGGCAACCCCTGCCCCTGCCTTCTTCCTTCCAACCCCTTCCCCCTCCCCCAGTGATAACCCCTGTGAGTAGTGACATGTCACTGCCAGGAGAGGAGCCCCAGGGCACAGAGCCCTATCCGCTTCACCAGCCAGACAGAATCCCCTCTTGCCCCGGTCCAGGAACAGGTTGCTCCAATCCCCTTTTGGCTCTGGGAAGATGAGTTAAGGAGCACGTGGTGCAGGGAGGAGGGTAGTGGCAGCTCCCTGCTGCTGGAGGATCTGTGTCAAGGTAACTAGGATCTGCTCTTTCCTGGGTCCGAGATCTCTGTCCCACCTCTGATGGGAAAGATAATTTTGGGATTTGAGAGTATTGGGCACCCCATATCCCCATCAGGTACCATCTCTCTTCCCCCGCTTCCACCCCGTGGTATCCCCTCTATGGGGACATGTCCAAAACTGCAGGACTTAAAGGGGCTTCAGTGTGGATTCTATCAAGTGTAACTACATAAGTCACTAACAGTAAGTTGTTTTTTGTTTTAAAAAGTTTTGTTTTTATAATGGGGTTAGAGATAATAGTTTAATAAACAATACATTATTTTCTGTTTTGTTTTTCCTGTCCTCCCATCCCCCAATATTAATCCTGACATTTACCCAAAAAAGTGGAAAGTTTCTTTTGTGTACTGATTTTTTTTACCTATTTTTAAAATTTTTGAAATAAACATTGATAAATTCCTGGGAAGTTAAAAATATAAAATGGAAACAAAGGGCTTCATTCATAATACAGCCATTTGCAAAATAACTTATTAACCAGAATTTATTAGTTGACTCCCCAAACCATCATCATTATCCCCACCCCTTTTTGGAGATATTCCTTCATTCTTCCTCTTTAGTGGCATGAATTGGAAGGTCCTCTCATAAGTGGATTCTAGATATAAATTCACTCTGTGCCACAAAAATATACCCTTCTCAGGGATCCATCTCACATGGAACTACTAGGGGGTGAAGTCTTTTACAGCTTGAGGCAGTAAATGTTTTGTCAGCAAAACAAGGCAAGAGGATTCCGTTCCTGTTGCTTTTCTTTTCCAAAAAAGAAAGCAGGACACACTCTCTATGAACTTGAGTACTCAAGTTTTACCTGCAGTTTCAAGTTCTCCTTCAAGTAATTGTCCATATTTACATTTCACGTGTGTATATGTGTGTGTGTGTGTGTGTGTGTGTGTGTGTGTGTGTATGTATATGTATATATATATATATATAATAAAATAAAAAAGGGCAGAGTGCACCAACTGCCGTTCAGTTCTCAAAGCCAGTCTTTTTGCTTTGAGATGAGCAGCTCACTGTCCTTGTTGACTGACTGCTGGCAACCCCCTTCTAATCCTTAAACTGCACTAGATTAAAGATGAGAGAGTTTTTGTTGCTCAGTGACACTCCTTTATTTCTTAATTTCTTATTTTTTCTGAATTAGGCCCTGGTCAAGGGGATGGTGTCTAAATCTCCTGGAATTAAATATTGCCTCTCACGTCAGGGAGCAATGCCTGTGAAAGATGGGTACTAAGGTGTCTTTATTGCTTCGGGGAATTGCATGTTTCTGGAAAATATGCTGTCTTCAAATCTTTCAGTTTAAAAACCAGGAAGGACAGGGAAACAAATATTCCTCATGAGCAAGGCTGTGAGACCAGTTTGGCTCAGGATCTGTAGGACTTCTCTCCCCTATCTCTCCACCACTTGTGGTCCCTTGGAACTAGAGAGTGAGCATGGGGCACTAACCCACAGGGCCTCATCATCAGTCCAGTCACTGGCTTAGACAAAAACTGCAAAAACACTCTGTAGAAAAGCTGAGGGAGCGAGAAACCCAATAGAGAGCTCCCTACCAAGGTCTCTCCTAGGTGTAAGTATTCCACTTGACACTGATTGTCCTCTGAGGCTTTGTGACCCTGAGTGGTTCCCACTGATGTTCAGTTTCATGCTGGCACTGAAGTGCTGGGTACCAGGAATATTTAGGTTGGCATCTCCTTTTAAGAGCATAGGACCAAAAATGGCTGACTTCCGCTGGCCCTCCTCACTCCTGCACTGGCACCCTAGAGATTCCTCTGGCACCATAGCTTGTGGTACCACACTCTCTAAGGTTCTTAACTCTCCTGGCTACGTCAGCTCCAGCAAGAGAAGACCCACCACCATTAGGACTAGCCATGCCACTGCACTAATTGACACCCTTGAGGTTCACAGTACTGGTGTACTTAGTGATATC